ACCGCGGGCCTCCACCGTGCGGATGCACTGCTGCACGAAGCGCGGCACCGCGCTCCTCTCGCGCTCGCACAGCGCGGCCAGCGCGCAGCCGAACACCTGGTCTGGGGGAGACGCCCGTCAGCGCCGCCCGCCCCTGCGCCGCCCGCAGCCCGCTCTCCCGGTCCCTCCGGTACCTTTGATGTAGCCCTTCTCCCGCAGCGACTGCAGCGTGGGCCGTCTGAGCAGGAACTTGCGGAGCTTGTTCCGGACCTTGCTCAAGTCGCTCTCCTGGACCCCTGGGCTCAGGACAGGAGCGGCTGCCACGGGGAATGCAAGAGCGAGTCAACCCGTGGTGGCGCCCCGGGTGGCCCAGCAGGCCCCATCCGGGTCGCCACCCTCTCCCCCAAAAGACTCCCTTCACCCCCACCCGTCCATCCCTGCGCACACCTGCTCCGGGCCGGGACTCATCCTCCCGCCAGCTTCCCAGGCGCTCGCTAGACCCGAAGTCCACGCTGCTGTTCTCACTTTCCTCCTCCGGGGGCAGGTCTGCAGACTAGAATCGCGTAGCCTCAGAGGCAGAGCCCGGGGCTGGTCAGCGGGAAGGGGGGGATCCTTTTCCCAGCAGGCCTGGTGACATCCCACCCCCCAGAAGTCACTCTTCCCGTAACCAGGTTCACTCCCCTCACCTCCACCAGGAAAGCTCAGAGCATTCACCTTCCTTAGCTGCATGCAGCTCTTCAAGCGTTGGGAGACAGTCATCCTGCTCTGCCCTACCCATGTCCCAGTTCCTGCCCGCCTATTTCCATATTTTCCTCAGCATCTCTCTACTAGGTCAGCATTCCCCGGTATGTGGCTCCCAGTACTGAGCTTGCAGTTCCAGCTGGGGCCTGAGCCAACAAACACACCAGCATCACGTCCCTGGATCTGGATTCCTACCTCTAGTAATACAGCCAAATGCTGCACCCAGTGTTGGGTCCTAGGGAGTAAAGGGTCAAAAAGCCTCAGCTTGTTTCCAGGTGAATAGCTGTCAGAGGGGACCAGTCCCATCTCTACTTATGCAATTGATATTTTGATACTAAAAAATGGTAGGCTCTACAATGCAACCCTTTAAAATTTTATCTTCTAGTTTCAGCCTGTCATTCCAGCCTGAGGCTATTTCTCAGATATTTTTTCCCCCTTCTATCTCCCTTGACTTGGGACATTCCTCTAGGATATGCCTCTACCCCTACCTGGAGAATCCTCCTGCAGGGCCAACCCCAGAGGCTGGTTCACCTAAGTAAGAAAGGCTGTTTCTTCAGCAGCCTTCCTGCCATCTGGCCATAAGGCCAGGGGCTGGGTGGGGGTGCGTGTGTGTGTGCTGCATTTGCCCGAGGTACTACCTGTTGGTGCCATGGAGCTTCCAGTGCCTGAGAAGAGGGCCCCACCCACAGTGGGCACAGCCATCCTGCATAATGGCTGGCCATTCCCTCCCCACCAGCCCTGGAGGCCCCAGGCTCTGCCTACCAGTTCATGGATGCTCTGGGCAATGGCCTTATGCCAAGTGCTGATGATGGCCTCCGAGTCATGCTGGATCAGGTACTCTGAGCCATCTCGGCTGCGCAGCTGGAGAAACACAAGTCACTCAGTCATCTCTGGTTCCCTGGGTCTGTCCCTGTCCCCAGGCCAAGGTATTCCACCTCATTGAAAGCAGTAGGTGACAGCATCTCTGTGTTACAGATAAGCAAACTGAGGCTCAGCGAGTTTAAGCAGTTTTCTTGTGGATACAGTTAGTGAGTGATGGAGGAAGGATCTGAGTGAAAACAGATCTGCATGGCTCAACTGTCTAGAACACTTTCCCCTGCCCTATCTCACCTCCCCATGAGCCACACAACATGGAAGACTTCACCCAGAGCGCTGGCCAGCAAATAAGTCAGTGAAAGAAACTCCCTCCCTGTGGAGGCCCCTAGAATTAACAGTGAAGAAAATGCTGGGAGAAAGGCTCTAAAAGCAGATCATGGCTGATCTTGGAGAAATAAAGCATCTCCCTCAATACACACACTGGGGACGCAGGAGTGTTGATCCCTTTTGCAGCCATGAGTCCCACCCTGTCCCACTCTCCAGCCTGGGGAACACATCCTCTTACTGGCCACTTTATCAAGAAGCGTACATTAAACCTGCTCAAGGGGGAAATGTTCTAACCAAACTCTTTCGGACTAGCAGGCTGGGGGCAGCACCCCACTTACTCTAAGGCAATGAACACAGGGTTTGGAGAGATCTGTGAGCTGGAGGAAGCAACGCCCTGTAAGTCTGGTGGATGCTCCATCCTGACCACAGGCCATATTCTTCCTTAAAGAGCCCCAAAGTCTGGATTTTCAAAGCCACTACTTTATACTATTGAGGAGTCAGCAGATATCAACAGCCCAGGCCGTCCTTCAGACTGACTGCTGTTGAGTGTCCTTATATCCTAACAAATCTCCGAAGAATAGGGTGAGGCGGTCAGCAACTTAGATCTCTCATCAGCCTGTGGCTCTGAGGACCAAGTGTTCAAGGTTAATGTGAATGTTTAGTTTCGGCAGCCCACAACAACCCTGGGGTCCAGTGAGAGTCAGAGTCAGCAGCCTCTATCTCGGACAACAGGGTACAACTTCCAGAATCAGAAAGGGCTTGTCTTTTGGCTGCCTTTTAAACTTAGACTTGGATGCTACTGATTGATTGATTTTTAGAGGGGGAAGAAACATCAATTTGCTGTTCCACTTATTTATGCATTCATTGGCTTATTCTTCTTTTAAATTTATTTTTATTGTTGAAAGTATTACAGATGTCCTTCTTTCCCCCCAATGACCCCCTCCACCCTGCTCCTGTCCCTTATTAGTTGATTCTTGCATGTGCCCTAACTAAGGATTGAACCTGAAACCTTGGAGTGTTGAGATGATGCTCTAACCAACTGAGCTACCCAGCCAGGGCCTGAATGCTATTTAAATAGTTTTTTAAAAAAAGGTGGCAGGTTGGATTCCTGGTCAGTGCACATACCCAGGTTTCGGGGCGCATGCAGGAGGCAACCAATGGATGTTTCTCTCTCTCTCTCCCACTTCCTCTCTCTAGAATCAATTAAAAACTTTTTTAAGAAAAGAAAACCTGAGTGTTCTCCCCCCTCATCTCCACAAAGACTAGAGAACCTTCAGCAGGCTTATAGCATAGCCCCACTCTAAGCTGAAAGAGCCCTGCCTCTAGTACTCCAGGGAATGGCCTAACGACACTTCTAAACAACCATTATTTTTGGCAGTTGCCTCAAAACATAATCAGTTCGTATTTGAAAGTTTCATGCAGAAGGCAAAGCTGTATAGTTACATAGCAATATAGTTCACGAAACATTCATCCTGTTACATGGACAGGCAAGCTGAGCTCCTTCTAACCAGCTGTTTTTGGAAGACTGTTACTGAAGTTTTCTGTGGCTCTGGGGTGACCAGGAAGAGCTGCTGTGTAATTTTTCCAGGCCCAATTAACCTGGCCATGATATAGAATTGGGGGGAGTGTCTCTTGAGAAAAATCCTAGAGTTGCCTGCAGGCTGCCCCTGAGTGGAGGGAGGATGGCCACCTGCTCACGGAGAAGCAGGGGGCTCCTCGACTTTCACTCAAGACTGTCAGCCTTCCCCTCATCTTGAGCAGCTTCCAAGAGTGCCATCTGCCTTCTAGTCCTTGCCAGAAAAGACAACTCAGAAGTGTTTACTCTGAAAGTTTCATTGAAAACCCAGTTGGAGTGGTGACATTTATAGAGCAAAAGTGATGTGTCCTCTCTCAATTTGACACCCATGGCAGATACTGCTAGCTGATCACAGCGTTCTACCCTGCTAAGCCTGGAGAAGACTCCAGACCTACTGATCCAAGTAGCTCATGAGATGAAAGCAGTTTTCCAACCCTGCTCCATGGATATTCTGGCTCTAGAACTGAATAAAGCTTGGTGAGTCATCAGAAAACTACACCCTCAGCCCCTTGCAGAGCTGCCTTTTCTGTGCTGAGATATAAGGTCGTGTTTTGGGCTTTCATAATTTTCCCTGAAGCAGACCCAAGAGTCCCTTACTAAACTAGAATGGAGCCACACACTAAAAATTTCTTCAAGAGCTAAGGGTTAAAAAAAAAAAAGCTTTGATTTCCCTCAAAATCTGGGAAGGTTTCAGCACCACCCCAACCCCAACTAGTAATAAGAGGCATGTAACTGATCACCCTTCTCTTTGCCTTGGCTACCAGGAAACCCCAAGCTAATGATTTTTAGCAACAATAACCTTAGCACCTGTACTTCATCTGCCCCCTAATCCCTCTACACTTTGACCCCCCCTCTAACTTGTTTTGCCTGGTCCTGCCTTTTCAGTGGATTTTACCAGCTCACCATATGTGATTTTGTTGTGAGCTGCCTCAAAATTTTGGGGGGCGGAGGTGAGAGTAAAAGTAGTTTAAAAACAAAACAACATAGGGACAGTGAAGGGTGTGACACTGTGAGGATCTTTGCCTGGGCCCCACCTGGACCCTCTCTTCCTGCTGGGGTAGACTGAGAAACGTGTCCACTGCCCTGGCATATTCACTGGGAACCCAGTCCGGTGGAAGCTAAGCTCTAAGCAGTCAGAGCAGGTTTCCCAGCTTGTCAGAGTACGTGGCCAGGGGCAGGGAGTCCCCTGTCTTAGGCCAGAGCAGCTGGGCTGAGCGTTGCCTTTCTAGTCATGGCAGATTTTTGTCCCCCAGAGACCCCTACTTCTCATCACCTTCCAGGGCCAAGGACTGGCTCCTGGAGAGGAAATTGCAGAATCTGTGATGCCATAAATACTGGGGATGGATCCCTAAGGTGGGGGAAAATTTGGCTTTGAGCTCTGAGAATTCCAGCCCCAACTCTCCCCAGGTCCTCCTTGGGGCTTGCCTAGTTTGAGTCCCAAGCCATCAGTAAGCCCCTTTTTTTCTCCCCACTCCCATAACTCACCTCCAGCACATTCTTCCTGCTGGATTTGTCTTTGGGGGCCCAGGCAAGAGAGGCCCCCTTCAGCTCCACCGTGTACTCAGGAGTAGAGAGCTTAGAAGTCTGCCTCTGTGGGAGAGAGGAAGGGAGGGAGCCTTCAGTTTGGACAGGCTGCCACAGTACCCTGACTCCAGTCCACCAGGCTCCCTCAGCTCTAGTGACAGGATGGGGTCACAGTTCTGGGGGAAAGGGGCCCTGGGGTTTCTGGAACCCAGAGATTCTAGAACTTCTTAACCACAGAGCCTGCGTGCTGGCTGGTCCTTTGCTGCCTGCCCACCCAGGAGAGGAAAGGAGAAAAGTGTACAGCCCCAATCCCTGTAAGCAGGACACACAGGGCACGCAGTCCCCAGCTGCCTGCCCCCAGGCTGGAGCTGCCCGCCCTCAAGGACAGCTCCCCATGCCCAGGGGGGCTGCAAGTGCTTGTCCTGGGGTGAATCTGCTATTGTCACTCCCTGTCAAAGGCCCTGGACATTCATGTTCTACTCTCTGAGACCTAGCCTTTGACAAGTCAAGTCAGGTAAAGACCCACAGGAGTCAGGAGCAGATGGGGTGACCCCTGCCTTGGGGGCCTGGGCCTCACCAGGCCAACTGCAGTTGAGGTCTTCGAGTCCTTGAAGAATGTCAGGACGCCGCCTTCCAGCACTGTCCAGGAGGCACTCCAGTGCTTCTTCCTAGGTGAGGATGGGGAAGTGGGGGGTGGCAGAGCTTGGGTTTGGCGCTGGGCTGAGGCCTCCTTCCCACCCCCAGGAGGCAGGGCACAAAGCTTAAGAACATAGCTTGTGCCCTGCCAGGTGTGACTCAGTGGTTGAGCATCGACCCAGGAACCAAGCAGTCACAGTTCAATTTCTGGTCAGGGCATATGCTCAGGTTTCAGGTTTGGTCTCCAGTAGGGGCATGCAGGAGGCAGCCGATTGATGATGTTTCTATCTCTCTATTCCTCTCCCTTCTCTCTCTAAAAATCAATAAAAGCATTAAAAAAAAAGAATTTATTAAAAAAACAAACAAAAAAACACAGCTTGGGACACCCAACTGTTAGAGATAGATTCCACTCATCTCTCCGTGCTCCAGTGTCCTCACAGAACCTCTTATAAAGTTGCTATGAGGATTAACAGAGCCTGGCATAGGGGGAGTGCTCAGTGAATGCTGTCACTAAGGCCCATCCTGCCCTGCTGTGAGTGCAGAAGGGCTCTTACCGGACCCGCTTTCCCTTGTCTACTGTCTTGGTGCGATGGAGCACACCTGCCTTCTCCAGGGTCTTGATCTTAGAAAGAGAAGAGGAAAGAGGAGGCAGTTAAGGGGTGAGCCATGGTGGACAGATCCTAGTCTCCCCTTCAGCAAGCAATGCCCCACAGGCTGGGCCTAGATCTCCATTGAACCCTCTTTGCTGCTGGTGGTGGTGGAGTACCTGGTCCCACAGCAGCACCAGCGGTAGAGAGTTCCTCCCAGCTCCCAACCTCACCCAACTCTGGGCCTGGGATGACCAAGATCCAGGCTCATTCAACCCAGGCTAGTGCCTGGGGCCTATGGGGGGGACATGCCTGGCCCAGTTCCAGAACCCAGGACCTCCAGAACTCCCCTATTTCTTCTGTGAGGCTCTACCAGGCCCTACATGCCTCTTCTCTTACTTTCTCCTCAGGTGGGCTGGCCTGGGCTGGGGTCTCACTGTCCTGGTTGGATTTGAGGATGCTTCGGGGGGCAGGAACTGGGACCTGGAGAGAAAAACACTGTCATATATAATCCCCTCCTCTCTCCCCAAGACTCTCCCTTCCCCAGTTGGTTACCTGGGGCAGATCCCACTGAACAGAGGAGTCATTTGGGTTGTAGAAGTAGGGCTTCCCATGTTGGTCCTCCAGCTTCACCCACTGTGGGGAGAGGGAAGCTCAGGCTGCCAGCTGGCCTCATGAGAGGGGAGGAAAAGGTTCCCTCTAACCAGAGCCCAAGAAAGACCCAAGGAGTCTGGAGGGACAGATGCAGGTGACACAGTGTCCTGGGCTGGCTCAGAGCCCCAGCAGGAGCAGCAGTTTTAGTGCTAAGGGAAGCTACTAGTGAGGAAGGAAGGGTTGGAGGCATGTCCCGGAGGCTCTCTGGGGCCCACCTGTCTGTTTCCCCTACCTGCTCCTGGGTAAAGTGGTTGGTGTAGACGGTCTGCCCCTCCGCGTCCACGTGGGAAGACCATCCGGGGGGCGTGACTAAGGGAGAGGCAGGCCCGGGCTCACTGAAGGAGCCCGGAGGGGAATAGTCTTCCTCGGGGTAAGTGGTCACTAACTCAGGATAGTCCGTCTCAGGGGTGGGAGGCTGTAGGGAGTGAAAGATGGGGTCAGAGACCCTCAGAGCCAGCCCCGCCCACCACATCAGGCCCCGCCCCTCACCCCAAGCTCCCTGGGTTGTGGGGAGGAGGCGGGGCCAGAGACCCTCAGAGACAGCCCCGCCCACCACATCAGGCCCCGCCCCTCACCCCAAGCTCCCTGGGTTGAGGGGAGGAGGCGGGGCCAGAGACCCTCAGAGCCGGCCCCGCCCACCACACCAGGCCCCGCCCCTCACCCTCTGGTCCTTGGGGCTGCCGGGGCTCAGGCCCGGCTGCATCTTCAGCTCGTCCTCTTCCTCCTCCACCTCCTCCTCCTCGGGCGCGTCCTCCGGCTCGTCCTCCCAGACGGTGTCGCCCGTCACGGGGTTGTAGAAGAACACCCTGCGGCTCTCCTCATCCCAGTACTGGCCCCACTCGGTCTCGAGGCTCTCGCGGCTGCCCACCGAGGACGGGGAGGTGGCCGGGCTGGCGGCGCCTTCGGCAGCCTCGAAGGGCGACTCCCAGGTGGTGACGCCCGTGTCCGGGTTGTAGTAGTAGGGCCGCCCGGTGTCCGCGTCCGTGTGCGTCTCCCACACCTGGCCGGGGCGGGGAGCCGCGGCGGCGCCAGGCGAGGGGGCCCGAGGCTGTCGCTCCACGTTCGCGTACACGGGCTCTGGGGCCGCCGGGGCCTCCTCCGCCTGCGCGAGAAGGAAGGAGCCGGGTCAGCTCCGGGCTCACAGTCCCCACCAGGCCACCTGCCACCGGGCGACCTTCGGCAAGTCACCGACCCTCCCTGCCTCAGTTCCCCCAGCTGTAAAGTATCTGCCCTGCCGGTCCAGAAACTGTAGTGAAGAGAGAATGAGGAAATGTTCTTGAAAGTGCTTTGTAAATGCCCCAGATAAGGAGGGACAGTTACATGAATTATTTGTTAATAAAATATTGATAACCGCACTCACAGGGGCCAATCAAAGGTTGGGCAGGAACAGAGAAATGGCCTGGGGCCCACCCCTTCTCTGCCCCCCTTCAGGTCACATGGGGCCAGGGCCTTGCTGCTTTCTATAGTCCCTCCCTTCCCTCCTGGCCCCGAAAGCTCTGGGACCGGCATCAGCACTGCCTCTGCATTTGGGGCTAGAGCCTCCTGGATGCCGGGTTTGCAGGCCTCTGAATCAACTCCAGAGGAGACAAAGACAGAGGAGAGCCAGATGGGATGGAGGGAGGAGGGACAAAGAATAGTGAACCCCTCTTTTCCTCCCCCCACCCCCTGAAGGAAAGTTAGATGGGCTAGAGGACTCAGTCACGCAGAATATAAGGCTGGTTGGTTATGCTTAACACCCTCAAGGCTCCCTGCAGCCTGCAGGGCAAAGTCCAAACCTTTAACAGGGCACCAGAGGCTACCCATCACCTGCTTGTCTTCCACCTTATTTCCTGCCACTCCTTGCTCCTGAACTTGAACTTTAAGCTCCAGTAGCAACGCCCTCACCCTCTCTGCTGGGTCTCCTTCAGGCCTCAGTCATTCACACCTGGCTGACTCCTAGTCCTTTAGGACTCAGCTCAGGTGTCAGGTCCAAGACCTTTTCCAAGATTTCCCGTGTGCCCACCACAGACTTGAACACTCAGCCCACCAGGGGGATAGATAGCTACACTATCAAACCCAGGGAGCAGAATAGCACAGGAGATTAATACTGTTTTCTAGGAATACAGAATGCTACAAGGGAAAGGAGATTTCAAGATGGCAAACTTAGCATAATTCCAATATTGTGTTTTTAGAAACCCTCCAAGGTGCTAACAGAGGTGTAATTATAGGGATGATTTGTTCAGTTTTTTCTTTAAGCTTTTCTGTAGCCTCAACATTTTGTACAATAAAACTTTTTTTTTAAAAGATTTGTTATTGATTTTTTAGAGAGAGAGGAAGGGAGAAACATCCATGTGAGAGGGAAACATTGATCAGTGGCCTTCCATATGTGCCCTGACCAGAGATTGAACCCAAAACCTAGGTATGGCTGGAAATTGAACCTGCCATCTTTTGTTGTACAGGACAACACTCCAACCAACTGAGCCACCCGGCCAGGGCCAATAAACCTTTTTTTTTTTAAGTCAGAGAAGTTTATCTGTTGCTGTGACGCCTTCACTAGGCTGTAAACTCCTCAAGAGGGGAAGCATGTCTTGCTCAAGGTGGCCTCTCCCTGAGCCTTAGACAGACGCCTACAAAAATAGTCATTTGTCCAACAGGGATCCGCCTGCTCTGCACTAGGTACTATTTTAGGCATGAGAATGCAGCAGTGAAGACATGGACACAAATCCCTGCCTTGGCCACCTGCACACGTGTGCAAATGGTTGGGAGGGGTAGGAAGCAGCCAATAAGTGAAATGCACAGCATGTCAATGATGATTGCTGCTAACAAAAAAAACACAACACTGCAAAGAAGGGGTGTAGCAGTTTTACACAGAGTGGCAAGTCCCAGGCATGTAGGGGGCCAGAAGAGCTGGGCACAGCAGTTCAGTCACTCTTCTCCCTCATCCCACAAGCCCCTGTGTGGCTGAGAAAACCAGCCCTCCACCCCACTTCTCCTTTCTCTCCACCCATTCCAGCTTTCTTGTGGCATCCTGTGTTCCAACCACACTAGCCCCCAAACACAAAGGCACCTTCCCACCTCCAGACCTTTGCTCCAGCCAGGCCCTCAGCCTGGAACCCCCTGCTCTCATTCCCTGCTCACCCAAATCCTGCTCCTTCACTGGAGCTCAGTCACAGGCCTCACCTGGGCGAAGCCTTCTCCTTCCAGAGAAAAGTCTAACCTGCTGTCATTCTGCTCTGTTGGGGCCTGATGACATTCTGTCTTGGTGGTCAGTTCATTGTTCACCCACCTGCCTACCCTCTCTGCCCCTAAAAGTTAGGAGTTTCTTGAAAGCAAGGCTCAGGATGATGTAATTGACCACAGTCACTCCCTATCAGGTGCTCCAATACAGATCCACCAGAAGCACTTACTGCTTGACTACACAAGTCGTTTCCATGCCAGACTTTAACAACAAACAAACACACACACACCTGACACTACAGGAGAGTCTGGGACTAGCTTTGAGCAAGAACTTCCTGAAAATGGGGATTCCAGCACTCAGGAACAGGAGAGTCCTTGGGATAACAGGAGGGAGGCAGTAGAGAAAGGTGGATGACTCAACACACCTCCTTGGGACAGGGGCTGGAAGGGAATATGGGCAGTGGACCAGCCAAGGAAGGAGCCAGGCTCTTCGGAGCAGGGATTTCCACCTGGCCAGGCTGCTGGCCTTGGCTCAGTCCATGGGGAGCCCCAGGCTGGTCAGACTGATGGGAATCTTGCAAAAGGAACACTCCCAGCAGGCACAGAGGAGACCTGGGAAATAGAAGTGCAGGCCTCCAGCATGACAGGGCTATCATGAGGAAGAGAAGGTGTAGAGTCACACTGCAGGTCAGAGGTTAAATGGGGGCATGGCAGTACCCCTTTGAAGGGGGCACACTCTCTGGATTGGGGCTGCCCCAGGAGGTAGTGAGGGGCCTTCACTGGAGGTGAGCAAGCAGAGTCCCACCCCCGCTAGGGGTGTGGCAGTCCTGAGGCCCCTTCGAACTCTAGAACTCTCTACAGAGCCCCCCGGTGCTAAGACAGAGGTACTTTCCTTTCCTGATAGAGCCTCAGCCTGGATCAGACAAGCTCCTGAAAGCCAGGTGGGGCCGGTCCCTCCGTGCCCTCTGGTCTTCAAGGGGGAGCTTGCCGGAGTTACAGCAGGGCCTGCCACCCCCATACCCAACTCCAGACAAGACCCAGACACAGCCCATCAACAGGCTTTTGGGGCCCAGACCCAGTCATGATAGAGACGCAGGGGACACCTAGCGGGAAAGAGGAAGTGTCCTCCCACCTCAGGCCGGAGGACCGAGCTGAGAGGGACCCAGATCTCACCACACTCAGCTTCCCAGCCCCCAGCACTCCTGCCTTGAATTCCTACCACAAGCAGGTGGCAGGCCTGCCTCTCTTCCCCCACGCTGGTCACCACCTCCCAGCCTCCATTTACAGCCCCTCTCAGGCAAGGCCTTGGAGAAGGAAAGAGGAAAGAAGGGAGGATTCCCAAGCTCCGTAAGACTCCCTGCTCCAAACCCCAGCCCCCCAGCTCCTGACAGGACAAGGGAATGGAGGTCTACTAAGGGCCTCTTGACTCCATAGGCCCGTCTGCTACCCCATCAGAGGCCAAGTTCAGCCCCCAAGGCCAAGCTCCCCTACCTGTCCCCGAAGGGCCCGACTCTGCCTCCTGGTCAGCTTGGCAATCACGTCCACCATCCTGTCCCCTCTGAGCTGCTGGGATGGAGCCCTGGGAAAGCTTTGGGGGTGGAGCCACAGGGCATAACCCTGGGGCTGGCACAGGGTAGTAGGGAAACAAGAAGTTGTCTCGAGATGGTGGGAGGCTGAGCCTCCAGCCCATTTCCTGTCAGGGCTGCGGAAGTGCTGCATGAGACAGGCTGCCTGAAACAGGCTGCCTGAGACAGGGTGTGGGGGGGGGGTGTCTCTCAGGTCAGGGAGATTTTTATGTGTCCAGGGACACTGCTGGCTGCCTCACTCGGTGCTCTGATTACCAATGAGTGCTGAATCCTAGACCCAGACACAGCCACTGAACAGAAGGTGGCATTGGAGCAATGGTGGTGGTGGGGGGGGGGGACAAGCATGGGGCAGCTGGATGCTGGGGCCTGAGCTGGCATAGACTGGACAATGAGTGACCATGAACTCCCTCAAGGCCCAGGGAGGGTGTGTTGGGAAAGAGGAAGCTTTCGTGTGGGTGGGTGTCCCAAAGAGGAAGGGGTATGGGCAGATATGGTATCAGAGGAAACCGGTCTCTGGATCCCTCCAGCCACGTGGAGGACAGGGAGGATTTTGACCACACCACCATCTACCCGCCTGACCGCCTGGGTCTGCCTCCTTCAGCCTTGGTCACCACGAGGCACGTACCCGCCTCGGCAGAGTGTCCCCGTACATAAACAAGTATGCCTGCGCCCTTCCCCCACTCTCCAAAAACCCAGAGAAGGGGACAGGGGACGGCTCCAGAAGAGCTTCCCTCTGGCTTGTCTGCCCTTGACCCTCTCATGCAGGTGGGTATGCAGACCCTGGGCATGCACAGCGGACACACGTCCTGAGTCAGAAGCTGCAGTGTCCTCCAACTACTTGGGGACCATTTTGTTTTCACTAATCCCCTCAGGGGTGTTTCTGCCCAGTCCCAAGTGCCAGGCAGCACCCTGACCACTCACCTGCCAGCCTTAAGCCTCTCCCATAGGGGCTGTCCAGCTCCCAGTTTAGGCTCTGACCCTCACTGTCTCCCTGTCCTGGATCCCAGACTTTCCATCCCTTCTTCTTCCATTTCAGTCACCTTCCTGCCTGCAGACCTGGCTCTCCCTTCTCCCCTGCCCATGTTCCCCAGCTTCTCTTCTCCTCTAACCATTAAGGCCTCAGGACAGGTACAGCCACGTAAAATATGCATAGTATGAATTCGGGGTATGGAACACTTGGGGGACCACATCCAGACCAAGTCTAGAGTCTAGGCTCTACTCTGTCCTCAAAAGTTGCCATACAGTCTCCTGTGCCTCAACTCAGAGCCCCAGAACCTGAGGCAGACTGATCCCTTCCAGAGAGGCCTGAAATCATCACACACATGACACACCAATGCCCCACCCTGAGAGCCAGGGAAAA